GCTTAGTATTTATATTTTTTTAAAGCAGAACAACAGAATGATAAGTGCACAATTGTATATATATATATGTTCTTTTTTTTCTATCATCTTTTCTTATAATACTCAGACGGAAGAAGATGAACTATAACCTATCTCGTCCAGTTTATCATCTTGTTTCTTCGTCCGTATCAGTATTATAAGAAAAGATGAAAGAAAAAAAAGAAAAGAAGAGGTGTATATATATATACAATTGTACACTTGTCATGTTTGTTGTTCTGTTCTGTTTAATTTTTCACAGAAAGGACAAGCAAAGAGTGCATGTATGATTCAGACGGAAGAAAAGAAATACAGTTACTATCTAATTCAAAGAAAAAAAGCAATGCTGAAAATCTAAAATTTCAATGGGCAAAAATTTACTAAGAAAAATTACAATGGGCAAACCTCCAAATGAAATGGGCAATTGCCCATTTGCCCTTCCCTTGGCTATGCTCCTGCGTGACTCTAAGGACATTTTAAGAAGATAAATAAAATAAAATATAAGCTCGTCGTTTACGAGCTAACAGAGATGTATATGACAATACAAACAACTTTTTTCAATATCACGATGTTAAATGAATGAAATAATCTGATAGAAAAGTAATTATACATATGATCAGTTTTACTAAAGAAAATTTCAGAGCGCATGTACAACTATCAAAATTGTTATAATTCTGATTTATTTATCTATTTGATATTTTTTTTTAATAACTTATTTTAAAACCTCTGATCATATGTATTAAATTTATAAGATTCAGAATTGGTGAGTTCCACATTTCGGCTCCTCTTGGGGCCGCACTGACAAATTTTTTCTTGGATAAACAGTATGGATATGATTAAAATGGAACAGTGTTAACTAGAAATAGTAATATTTCTGGTATTTCGAACTTGTTTAATGAATAATTTAGTCCTAGGAGATTTTTGTGAATGAAAAATAGTCTTCATGAAACTTGAATATCGATGAATATATTTTATTTTTTTAATGCAAAAAGAAAATTATCTTCTTTCTCATGTTTTTTTAAGCATGAGACTTGTCTAATCTTATTAAAGTCAAGCACAGGATGATGATAAACTTTTCACAATGTTCTAATAAATTACTGAAGTGATCGTTAGGTTGGACTCGGACTCGAACTCGAGCGAAGCATTCTTTCATAATTTGAATCAAATTTTCTAATCGGAATTAAATATCGTTCCGAAGATATGAGATACTTTTTTCCGAGTTTTTGTATTGAGTGACTAAAGGCATCCTATACCTTTCTTAGACTACTAGAGCCTGTCGGATCTAAAATTTCGGATCTGGAACCAATCTGACAAGGTCAAGTGAACATTTTTAGTTTAAAAACTTGTTTTTAAATCAATTCAATGATCAACTGTCCTATGATACGTAAAAATTCTCACATAGAATTGTTCAATTCTCATGTTGTAAAACTTCTTTAAATATTTTTTTCAAATCTACATTTACACATTGTTAACATCTCTATTATATTCTTTCATTACTGATAATTACATTAATCTTGATGATTAACATATAAACATTTGCTAATAAAATATTCCTTTTTTTCAATGATATCTCAAGTATTTATTTAGTAAATACAGTCTTATTAGATTTAATTTTTGAATCATATATAATATAAATACGAGTATTTTTTTTTGTTTGTTTAAATATTGTTGATATGTTTGTCAACCATGACCCATGCTTTGCACACGATAAGTGCATCGATCGTACTTCATCACCAACCTTACACTTGAAATAGAGAAAAAAAAAGTACGTAGCGATATTTGTCCGCAGACTGTATGAGACATTATTTTTACCCTTGAATCACGTGTATTACAATATATGATTCACAATATGCTTCACTAATCCATGATTACTGGCCACGACATTTCTTATTTATTACATTCATCATTTCAATGTCTGATACCATTATATGATATATTAGTCATAAACTTACCTGTATAATAGATAACAATTCAACAAGCAAATAAATACAAAAGAAGCAGATATTATACTTACATTTATATGATGATGTCGTTGATGTTTGAAGGATTAGCTAATGAGATTGTTTTTACCGACTTTTTTCCATTTCAAATATCATACCTTTCACGTTTTTTTCAAAAATTTTCGCATGATTGATATCCCTCTTTTTTCCGTCGATTGTAAACGTACAAGACATACATTATGGCTTTTTGTGTCTACACCTATGTCATTAGATAACAAACACTTTTTCACGTGCATTAATAATATTGTGCAGGTATGTTGATAAGATGGTTTATTCTCGTATGCAAAATTTTTTATATTAAATGACTGTTAAATCATTATTGTTAATTTGTTTTTGTATAGTATAAACAATTTTATGATAATTTACATGCTAAAATTTCCTAATAATGAATAAGTAAAAAAAACCGATTCTATTTACATGCAAAATTTACTGAAATGTACGTGTTTCTTCAACTTCTTCCAATTTTTGCCAGTGTCAAAAGTAATTTTTTGTCTACATTGTACGCGAGATTTTCTTTTCAATCTTCCAGATCGATCTTTGGTTCTTTGTATAGCCACTGCCTACAAGAATATATAGATATAGTAGCGATTATAATTGATCATATAGTCCAGATAGATGACATTAGTTTTTTTAATATCTCAAAATTGGTACAATGTATTGAGATAAGAATTTCAGCAAAATGTGACTTTTATTTCATGGTTTATTTGCATTAAGTATTACGTCTTTGATGCATAAATTTGCTGTGTTAGATAAAAAGCAAACACTCAAGATAATCTAAATTGATGGTAGACTTTATAGAAACTGATACGTATAAGCCAAACTTCATCGAAACATTGTAATAAAATAATTTTTCTTATCGAAATTATAAAATATGCCAGTCTTTATTATAAAATTTATGTGAATCTTTTTTATCTAGTGCAGCAAGTTTACTTCGCCAAAATATGACACCTAATGCAAATAAACTATGAAACATAGGGCAAATTTCATCAAAACTTACACGTCAATACATACAATCTCTTTTAAGATGTTAAGGAAATAATGTACGATCAATTTTAACCATTACTATAAATCTTTGATTTATTTTCAATTAATTAATTAATAGAGTAATAATAGTAATGTTTTTTGAATAGTTTTTTTGTAATGACTAGTTTGATTTGAATATTTAACTATCTTAGTTTATTAGAAGATTTATCATAATTCTCAATGTTATATAGATGATAATAAAAATTTATCTTCTATCGTTTTCTATTTTTATGATTTAAGCAATTAATATAGGATGAAATAGAATAGCTTAAATTATTTTGTTTTATCTTTTGATCAAATTGTACTCGTTATACTTAATAGTAATAACTTGTAGTCATGCATGATTAGTTCTACTCTGCTATTATGCATACCATGTAATTTTTTCTTTTACTCTTATCTATTTTATAATCATACTTTTCTTATTTTCTTTACTTATATTTCTAGAAATAGACAAAAAATAATAATAAAATTTTATAAAAATTTCAATTACTTATTTCTATATATTTTAATTTTCTATACAAATTAAGTTAAGATAAAATTTACTTTATTAAAATCTTTAATAGATTATACAAGATGCGTCATAATATGGGCGTGGCCAGTCGTGTTGGTACCCTAAGATATAAGATAGGAAATAATATTATTTCAGAGAGAAGTATATAATGAATTTTATCCCAAACGAAAGCTCGTCAAAAATGGGGTTTATTGGTAGTAAACAGAAAAGGTTTTGTGAACCTTGTAATGTCGACCTTCAAAAATTTTGAGAAATTTTACACATATTCGGCGTAGAAAACTAAGATATCCATTATATATGGATGAAGAACAGTAGATTTTTTCATAAAATTAGGTGTCTTCATTATTTTTACTACCTAATATGTCTTGAAACATGTTCAATAGATGCAGCGTAGAAAACTGAATCAAATAAATGTATTTCGAAACATATGAGATAGTAAAAATAATGACGACACCTAATTTTATGAAAAAATCTACTGTTTTTCGTCCATATATAATTGATACTTTAGTTTTCTATGCCGAATATATGTAAAATTTCTCAAAATTTTTGAAGAGCGACATTACAAAGTTCAGAAAACCTTTATTGTTTAGTACCAATAAATCCTATTTTTGACGAACTTTCATTTGATATAAAATTCATTATATACTTCTCCCTGAAATAATATTATTTCCTATCTTATATCTTGGGGTATCAATATAACTAGCCACGCCCATATATGAAAGTACAAATACGTAAAATGAATAGCAATCATATAGAAATCAACATTTGACAGTAAAGCTCGTAATTTTATCGTGTCTATCACGTGTGTTATTTTATATAGATTTTTAGTATTTTTCTGTTTTATTATTAGTTTAAAATAAAATAGTCACATCATTAAATCAATTTGGCATGCAACAATTTTCGAAGTATTAATTATTTTGATAAGGTCATTTTCATTTTTATGAAAATAAAAAGTTTGTGACCGATTTGGATAAACGTGAATTTGATTATTTATATTCAAACTTAACGCTTATGATAGAAAAATATATGATAAATACAGAATTTTAAATATTCTAAAGGTGTCCTTCCATCTCTTTCGTCATTGAAAAGGACACCATCGGATAAGATCGTAAATCTGTTACATCTTCAGATCTTACTTTTAATAGGTTAGACAGATAGAGCATGACATTCTACATATTTTCGTCCTTTTAATTTTATTCTTTCTGAAGCCAAAAACAAATATTTGTGGACTAAATAGTCTCGAAGAAGTCTTTCACTTTTAGATATTTCAAATAATAATTATGGCATCCGTAGTTTTTCTATTATAAACTCGATATGAAATCTAATAGCATAGATTGATACAGTTATTCATGCTCTACAAATTGACATAGTATTCATATCTAGCATTAACTTTTATCTTAGATTATGTAGGATCATGTGATGTCATACCTCACTGTATAAAAAAAGAAGTGGAGAACAATAAATTCTCATTATCTATTTATTACCATGAGATGAACCCTTTTCTTTTCATTAACCTTGATAAGAGTTTGTGACTCATTGTAAATTCATATACTCTTGTACTGTTGTCTGTATTCATACATATCCTTTTTAGATATATGAACGCAATAAATCCTCAGGCGACATTTAACAAAAGAAAAAATAAATATACAGAAATGCGCAGTTCTATCTTTTTATTCTATGGAAATGGAGATCTATAGGTGTGACATATTTACGATTTCATCCGTTGATATCCTTTTTGTAGTCATTATATAGTCTGAATTAATATCGATCTACTGAGTACATTTTGGAATCGAAAATTTGTCTTTTAATGTTTTAAAAAATTCGAGAAGAAATTAAATTAGTAGAAACTGTACATTGTTTTGCATTTTTCGCAAAACAGTTTTTCCATGAAAGACAGAACAGAAATGATTCTCGGTTTCTCCGGCCTGGTACATTCGATCGAGCTAGAACTTTTCCCATATATTATATCTTATTTGGAATGAGTATTTTATTTTCTTGTTTCAAAAAATATTGTTCTGTTGATTTTTAGTAACTCTTACAAAAAAAAAGAGCAAGATAGTCACCCCATACAGTATTTTCAGTTCGATCGAACATAGCATCTCGTAGAAGCAGTAGAAGCCTTTTTCACCATTGTGATCACAGTACTTCATAGAAAATAACATCCGGACTGGCAACTTTTGCTCTACTCATCAAGATCTATCTGCTCTAAAAGTTTCAAATTTTTTGAATGAACCATTGTTCAGAAACTCCGGAAAAGGAGAAGGAGAGGTAGCCTTAAACTAAATAAAATTGGCTGTAGACCGTTTGGTATAATACGCCGGTAGTTTGATACTAAAGTCTTGGATCATCATTCTCTTTTGATATATCTACAGTTGTTCTCTGACCGGAAAACAAGTACTTGTTTTACTGTCAGTAGTACGAACAAATATGTCATATGAAATATCTTATTATCTATAGAGAACACAATGTATTAATAATAATAGTAATAGATTTAAAATCGTGATGAAAGAGTATTGACATAAAATCAAGGACTTACTACAAATTTTTTTTTATTTGTTTCTTTTTTTGTTTATAGGAAATTGTGGAATGATAGGTCGATTGCGAATAATTTGTTTTTCATCATTTGTAATTCTCATTATTTTATCTCTATATATTATTTGGCCATGGTTCCACGCTGCCTCTATATGGCGTCAAAGTACAATAAAATCTCTGAATTTTTCTACGACTTCATTATTAAGTAATACAGATAGTCAAGTACCACGAATAATTCATCAAACATATCGTGACATATATTCAATACCATTTAAGTGGCAACAAGCATCAAATAGTTGTCGAGAACTTCATTCAAATTATAAATATTATCTTTGGACAGATAAAGAAGCACGACGTTTAATTGAAAAAGAATTTCCTTGTATTTTATCAACATTTGATTCTTATCCATATGATATTCAACGTGCTGATGTTATACGTCTTGTTGCTTTATATGTATATGGAGGAATCTATTTAGATTTTGATATTATTTGTTTAAAATCACTTGATAAATTATTAAATTATGAATTTGTTCTACCACTCACAAAACCTGTTGGATTATCGAATGATTTTATTGTTTCAAAACCTAAACATCCATTTTTATTAAAAGTTTTGAATGATTTACCAAAATTTAATCGAAATTTTCTTACAAAGTAAATTAAATATGAAATGAAGGGATAAAAATTTAAGACACTTTTTTCTCTTGTGGATAGTTTTACTCGAATATGGCCTACGAGAGATATCAAATAGTGATTTCAATAACATTCAGAATAGACTACAAATTTGCACGAGAGAACTTCTCCAGATGTCAAAAAATCGCTTTTCGACCATGGCGATATTCATTTGATTAGTAATAGAAAAGCCTAAACAATGGTTTGATTTTTCGGGCCTTCGTTCTTTAAATATCGAAATTTTACTGGATTTTTTAATAAAAAGCTGTGCTCACATGTAAAAATTGGTTTTCGACTTCAAGCGTTGCATGAACAAAACTTTATTTTGTTCATCTTTAGAAAAGAAATACTAGCAACACGAAAACTGGTACAATCAACTAATTGCATTAAGAATGTTGTTAATGCAACGTTTGAAACCGAAAGTCGTTTTCTCTCTGTCACTACAATTTTTCATTGAAAAATCCAGTAAAATTTCGATATTTCATGAACAAAGGTTCAGAAAACCAAATTACTCTAGACCTTTTCTATAACTCATCAAATGAACATCATCTCGGTTAAAAAGCGAATTCACATCTGGCGACATTTCCCCATGACCTTTGTAGTCCATTCTGAAGCCTATCGAAATCACTATTTCATGTTTTTCATAGACCATGTTTGAGTAAAACTATCTGTAAAAGAAACAATATCTTAGATTTTTATTCTCCATTTTATATAAAAATATTCATTATAGATATATTTGTTTTTTTTTATATATAGATATCCAACTGTAATGTTTTCTACAGGTCCAATGTTTCTTACACAAGAAGCTTCATCTTATCCAAATCGTTCTTCTTTAGATACTCTTTCTCCTGTACTCTATGGAAAATATGCATACAATTCATCATATTCTCTATTTCGACATATAAAAGGTAAATTAATTATTTTTAATTTATTTAATAAATAATCAAATGATCTTTATTATTATATTAGCTTCATCATGGCATGGTAATGATGCATCAATGATAAAATATATTTATCGTTGGCGACATGTTTTTATTGTTGTATTGATAATCATATTAATAATGATTTTTGTTATAATCTATGTCATTCAACAATATCATACAATTCTAAAAATGATTTATCAAATTTATTTATCAATTGTATTAAATTTAAATCATACAAAACAAAAAGAACAAACTTTTACACATAGGAAATATATTCGTTTATTGTTATTAAATTTTGTTTTGTTTTATTTTTCTATACTTGCTTTATATAAAGTGATATATCCATCATTTATTGATCATGATAATATTTCCTCATGATCAATGAAAGATAGCATAGAATGAAAGGTTAATCAGTATTTATTCTAGTCTCTTGTACATATTTCCGGATATAGATAGATAAACTCTTTACCCCTTCTTTTTTTTTCTTCTTTCTCTCAAGAAAAATATTGATGATGGATACGAGCGAGATAATCGAGTAGCAGTTACATTTGATAAAAAGCTCGAGTATAGTGCACATATCTTTGCATTGTTATTAAACAAATCAAGAAATTGAAATGGAAACTATTAAGAATGCTGTTAATGCTGCTGGAGATAAAGTGAATGTATGAATTGAATATCTTTTTGTTTATTAAATTCAATAATTCAATTTTTATGTTTTTATTTTTGTTTAGGAAGTGATGAGTAAATCATCAGCAGAATGTAACAAAGAAAAAGCAAAAGATTCTAGCAATACTGTTGGTGAACGTATTGGTGCTGGTATTGATTATTGTAAAGATAAAGTTGATGAAGCTAGTCATGCTGCTTCGAAAGAAATTAATAAACAAAAAGCTACACATTAATAAAATCAAAAAACAAACTTTGATTCAGATATATAATCTCGCTATGATTTGTGTGTTTTTTTAGTGTGTGCTTTATTGAGAAATTGTATTGAATAAAAATGAATTAATTATCTAACTGAAGTATACGTCTTATGAGATATTTGTATTACATCATGGTCACATGACATAGACACGTGATTGGATCAAAAGGTTTATGCAAAAGTCGGAATATTGTCATCAGTACATAATATAGATCTAGTGGACCACTATCTTTCAGTATAGAGTTCTACGTAGCAGTAGACTCGTTAACCCGATATCTGCCCTATAAATAATACTATTCTTGTTGTCGAAGAGCAATGGTTCTGACTATTTTTCGAATAACTCTTGATAAGAACAACTGATCAATTAGGTGAATTCTTTGCAGATTTTTAAAAAAGAAAGATATTCTGAAGCCATTTCTCATTAGATTTTGATTTGAAATATGCCCAATTGATAGGAAGAAAGTTCCCTCCTTCAATCTATGTAAGTGTCAACTTTAATGCTTACATAGATCGAAAGGGAAGATTTTTTCCCATTGATTGGTCATATTCCTAGTCAAAATTCAATGTGAAATATTTTTCGAATATCTTTTTTTTTCAGACTCTCCGCAAAGAACTCATCTGATTACTCAGTTATTAACCGATCAAATTTTGGCATATGTCAATAACTCAGAGTCTTCTCTTTTGAATGCTGAAAATCACAGGACTCTATGATGTTTCTATCAAAAGTTGTTCGGAAAACAGTAGAGTGCATGCTATTTTGAAATCAGTAGTAACATTCATAAAACTTGATCAGATGGTGTTTGAAGGTCATTCCTGCTTCTTCTACTATATCGATAAGACGCGAATATCTCTTATATACAATAGGTCACGTGTACGTGATTGTGTTATTTAAATTCATTAATTCAAATGGTAGATAATTACAATTTTTATGTTCATGAATCATTGGTGGACAAAGAAAAGCGTGTTGAAGGTCATGGTCTACAAAAATTAAATGATAAATTGATTCAATTAAATAATGAAAATGAAAATTCCAAAATTAGATCCATCAAAAGACAAGCAACATCACAAACTCAATATGATAGTGAAAATGAAGATTCAATTCTTTTTATAGATAATGAAAATGAAAATGATCGATTTACTATGGTGAAGAAAAATCAAAACAACCAAAAACGTAAAATTCAACGTGGTGAAGAACAACATGTTTACAATCTTGATCAACTTGATGAGTCATACAATAATGATAAACATCGGAAAACAAACAACTATCGAATCTATTCAAGAAGAACGAAAACAAAAGAAATAGTGGATGACTCATCTTATCATCACGTGAATAAAAAATCAAACAATTATCAAGTAAATTATCATCATCAAATAAATCAAAATGATAAAACAAATATTTCTGTTTATCCTGTCAATAATTACTCTTTATCTTATGCTACTGATCTTCATCTTACACCATTGAAAATAAAATGTAATCCAACTTTATCTGATAAAAATGCTGCTTTAAAATTTGTACAAGAACTATTTAAAAGAATCGAAAATTCTTTTCGAAAAAAATACACTGATCATAAAAAGACAATTGGATTCGACTATTGGTGGATAAATAATGATGGTGATCTTGTAGGAATTACAAAAGATTTATCATTATACGTTTATTTATGTGATACAAGACATTACCCTGATTATATTGATTCAGTTCAACTTAATCCTATACTACCTATTCATTTACCACCACAACATGCAGCAGTGATAAAATTTGTACCAAATGATCATTCTCTTGTTGATATTGAAGAAGATCTTAGAAAACGTTATTCATCTATTTATCATATTGAAGAAATGAATGGGACCAGAAGGTTGCACAGCAGACATATTAGATTAGATGTATATGATAAAATTGAATATAATAATATATTAAATGGTGGTATAATTACATTAGGTGGTATGCTCTGTGAAGTTGATGAATATTTGCCTGCACCTAAAATTTTATTATGTACGAAATGTAATATTCCTGGACATACAAAAAAAGTATGTAGATTAGAATATGATCGATGTCGAAGATGTGGCAATGATCGTAGTAATGGTGATCATAAGCAATGTATGATATTATGTCACCACTGTGGTGGTGAACATCAAGCAAATAATTATAAATGTCCAATTTTACTCGAATTTCGTCGGAATCTCATTGAAAAATTGAGAGAAAATCCAGACAAATTACCTCCTCAGATACAAATGTTCATTCCTCTTGATTGTAGACTACGAAAAACGGAAAAAGTTCTATTCAACGAGAAAAAACCCGTTCAACAATTTACTTATACTAATTCACTTTATGAATGGCCAATTCTTGATAAACCATTGAAAAACTGCAGTTATGACAAACATTTGAACAATTTACAAAATGAACTTGAAGCTCAAAAACATAAATACCAACTCGAAATTGAAAAAATCAATAACAAATTGCTACAATATTCAACAAATATTCAAAAATCATGTATAATTATGCAAACTCAAATTAATACACAAAAAGAAATAATTGATTCAACAACATCAATTGTAAATGATTTAACATTAAATATGAATACTAATATTATTAACATTATTAATAATCTAGTACAATTACTCAATGATCTTGCACCACATGATCAAATGAAGAGCAACTTGAGTAAGTTAAAAGATGATTTAAAAATACAACATCATTATATAGGTGAAAGACAAACAGCATACAACAACTACACACAAAATCTTGAAAAACTATGGCTCAAACAATCAAATAGTATGATAGAATTATTTGACTTATGTTCATTCACCTCACACAATGATAAGTAAAGACTTCAAGTATTCATCGACACAAATAAACTTTGACTATGTAAATCGTTTCCAAGGAATAGAAAAAGAAAGAAGAGTATTAAGTGAGATGATAAAGGAATGGAACGAGCGTGTTTGTGTATCAGATTTATGTACTAAGTGGTATAAGACAAGACCAACCAATTCGGTTGGAAATCTACTCTTCGTACTATACAATTGCCAATGTTTAAGTACACATTTGACTGACATTGATTTAATTTTAAACTTATACACCCCACAAATAGTAATACTAACTGGAGTTGGTTCAATGATACATGCTATGCCCCACATCCCCCAATATTATTGGCACTGCCAAAAAGGCAGTAACAGTTTTGGAGGTGTTGCTTTCTTAATTCACAACTCGTTGAGGTCTAGAGTAATCAATAAACAAAATAATTTTATCTTGATCGAACTCGAAATAGCTCAGTCCTGTGTACTGTTGGGAGCAGTATATGTTCCACCTAAAAGTTCACCTCCATTCGAATTGTTCGAAATATGTAAAGGCAAAGAATTTTTTTTGTTTGGGGATTTTAATGCTAAACATGACCTATGGTCATGTAAGACGAATAATACTAACGGAGTCGAAATACAGCAATGGCTTGAAGCAACAGGTTTTGAAGGTATTTTCCCCCAATCACCTACTTCCAAAAGATCCGACGTGATTATCGATTTTGCTATAGGACACTCTGCCTACGGATGGTCAACCGAAGTTGTTGACATAGGAACCTCTGACCATTTTCCAATTTTATTCTCATCTCCTTTTGCACTCGAAAATACATTTATCCATCACAAAACCAATTGGAATATTTTTACTTTTTTTCTAACATGTGTCTTTCAATATTGGAACGCTTGTGTGTATAATATTGACGAACAAGAATTTTTTACCCTCTTCTCAAATTTTCTTAAAGCACTATGGGATAGAACCAGTACATACGAGACGTTTAAGAAGTATCGACCTCCTTGGCCTCCATATTTAGTTACATTAGCTAGACAAGTTAATAGTATAAGACGTAAATATCGTAGAACACGTTTTCTTATATATCTATATGAATATAAGAAATTAAAATATCAATATCACCACGCTAGATTAATATATGAACAAGAAAAACGTGAAAAAAGGTTTACAAATTTATCCGAGAATATAAATATATGGAAAGTAGTAAAGCCGACATTTCGTCCATATCTTCCATCTTTTAGAGGTCTGAGAAATAAAGAAAATGAAATTATTAGAGATAGTCGGAAAATAGCAGATCAATTAGGAAATTACTTCGAGAAACATTTCTCGAAACCAATCTACGATTCCGAAAATAAAGAACATACAAATTACCTAAAAGCATACGAACGAATAGCTAATTTACCTAAGATGCCAATTGAACCTATTACAGTACAAGAAGTTTACCAGCAATGGCATAAAATGTTAGCAAAAAAATCAACTGACATCTTAGGTATATCAGCATTCCTCTTAAAATGTCTCCCAATTGAATATATAGGGATAATCACAATTTTGTTTAATAAATGTATTTCAAAAGGAGAATTTCTAGATGCAGGTAAAATAGCTAAAGTGATATGCCTATCGAAGAATGGCATCTATCCTTCAGAAGATCAATTACGTCCCATTTCATTACTACCCAACCTAAGTAAACTCTTTGAACGATGTATACATACAAAAATTCTCAAGTGGTGTGAATCTAAAGGCATTTATGTAGATGAACAATCAGGCTTCACACCGAATCGACGTTTACAAACACGCATCCTTACAATTTGTGAGGATATTCGATTGACGATAGCAGCACCTAATCGCCCCGCACTAGGAATTTTTGTAGATTTTAAAACTGCCTTTGACAAGATGTGGCACCCGGTTATCATCTCGAATCTAGTAGAATTGGATATGCCACTTAATCTAGTAAGATTCATATACGAGTGGCTGCAAGGACGCTCAATGAATATACAATATGGCGAAGCCATATCCAGAAATATAAGTATTAATGTAGGAGCACCACAAGGCTCCGTACTATCAGCAACACTGTTTAGATTACATCTGCATTTTCTACCAAAAATGTTTATGCGTTTCAATACACATTTATTTGCTGACGATCTTGCAATTTTGATAAAAGGTTCCATTGAGAAAAGGTTGTCAGAAAATATAAAGCAACTAGAAGAAAATGCAAAAATTGCTATGTTAGCACTAGAGAAATACTCGAAGGATATTCTACTACCGGTTAACGTGAACAAAACAAAGGTTCTGTTATTTCATAACGCTGTCGCCCCTCCACATCCGAATATATTTTTTGAAAATACGAAACTCGAATTTGTATCTAAGTTTAAATACTTAGGAGTTGAAATTAGAACCAAACTAGGTTGGGGTATTTATTTACAAACACGTATAGCAAAAATAAGAAATATCTACTGTGGGCTCTCGAAAATTTACCGCAATATTCCAAGAAGCGACATTAAATCACGACGTTTATTATTTCTTACCTTTGCCCTCCCTCATTTCATATGGATCTTTATTTTATGGTTCTTTTTTACCGAAAAACAAAAAGAAATAATAGAGCACGTTTACATATCAGGTCTTAGAGCTGTTTACTCTTTATGGGGATGGGATGATCTTACTACTTTAACACTAGCTCGAGAAAAAACTTTAGCTGATTACGTGTATACTTATTGGAAAAAACTAAAGAATCATCTAGATAATTCTATAGAAGCTACTGCTTTTAATGAAACATTTGAAGCATATATGATTATTACTTCACCAGATCGCTTTCGTTTATTTTATAAAAATATGGGCTTTAGAAAAAATAGTAGGTTTCCAGAGAGACTAGCCAAGAGGGCTACTCACATCTATCTAGATCTATTTAATTTTTTCATGATTCAGGAAAAACAGTTAAACTACTTTCGATCTTCCTCAAGGGAAATAAAAGAGTTCATATGTAGACACTTAATACCCCCTTAAAACCTAACAGTCGAAGCAAAATAAAATAAAACAAAACAAACCGAAGGAAATTGTATAGTATGCAAGAGATAGATCTTTAGAAGAAAATTTTCTAAAACTTTCTCGGTGTATATATATATATTTTTGTTGTTTTTTTTGTTTGTTTTTATATATAAATGTACTGTTAATTTGCGTTTTACCTATGTATTAACTCTATTCATTCGAATTTTTCCTCTTTGTATTTTGTACTACATCTTTGCCCTTCATCTTTATAAGTGAAAAAAAAAAATAAATAAATAAATAACGACCTTTATTCAGAGATTAGCGCGCAAAAATATATAGAACAGAAGCAGTGAGTAATCAACGTAGTGGTAAAACTGTACTTTAAAATTCTCCTTTTCTCTCCTTCATTGATTGTAACTGTAATTTCCCACTTTAATTATTTATTTATGTTTGTCGGTAATTTTTTCTTTCTTGCTCTTTATACATTGTATTTTTTTTTTCTGTTAACCCTACTAATTGGGAACAATAAACTGAATGAAAAAAAAAAAAAAAAAAAAAAAAAAATGGTGTTTGAAGGTGATAAATAAGAGTAGATACATTGCTATCTATTTTGTTTTTTACTTTATTCGTATTTAAATATGAATTAAAAGAAGACATCATGTCCACCTCTCTTGATCTAGATGACATAATCTGTGAACGATCTGACTATTTCTTACCTTCAAAACTGTTTTTCTTATAAAAAATCCACTTTCTTCGGAGGAATAAAATTCGAAATAATACCAATTCTTAAACTACACATTTCCGGCTAATCAAATAGATATTTATCTCAAATTTCATTTTTTTGATACAATTCTATGTCTTTGAAGATGAAGAAGGGACTTCAAATCAAAATGCATGTACTTATTAAAAATTCTAATAAATTATTCATCGAATTTGATCATTATTTCTGAAGTAAATGACATATATATATATGTTAGTATTACCATATCATTGAATTACAAAAGTATTCGAGCATTTCAACGTATGATTAATGTATAACCATTATTATTTGATATTTCATTATGAACAAACGAAGATAATGAATTATTCTCTCAAAAATATTTTTTTTAAAGAGTATGTTCAACTTCAAATTTAGTTTTACAATTTTGTTTATATATAAATATCCAATTAACAGTAATATCACCGTTTTTTTTCGATATTGATTATGCATGTTGTTTAAAAGAAAGAACATAACAATATATTATCGTTTTATCGAATGACTGATGTTCGTTGACTTTATAAAGAAATGCATAGAGAATTTATTAAAATAAAACATTTGATTATTAAAACAATCAAACAAATGAATTAATCGATGAAAATATACTTGTTTTTTTTTTTACTAAATGAAGACAATTCGATATATGAAATATCTTCATAATCACAAATGTCTTGTTTTTTATAATTGAGATTCAATAAATACTTTTCTTTTAAAATAAATCACTTGTCTTTTGTAAATGTCCTTTATTGTCATGTATTGTATCGTCAAAAAATGGATCACGTGCTCGTAAGCTTCTGCAAGAAAAAAAGAGAAAGCATAATTCTCTTATATCAAATAACGTCTGTTGTAAAAATCTTCAGACAAAAGATTCGACTTCTCAAGTAATAATAAGTTCGAAAGTAAATTTTTGGCATAGCTAAGATAAGATATAAAGATCGTTCAGAACATTCGAATATAAACCACAATAATGAAGGTTATGAAGTTCTATATAACACAGTGATGGTGGTATAGAGCTTGTCGGGTTGGTCTCGGATCCAGATTCGGTTGAGTGTGGGTTCAAAAATTTTGAATCTGATGGACTCTAGCTGTTTGAGAAATTTTTAGAGTGCGCTAGTCACCGAATACAAAAAGTGCTTCGATCTTCAAGCGATTATCCAATTCCGATTTGAAAATTTCATTGAGAGTATCAAAGTACGGTTCAGCAAGGTCCGGGTTCGAAAATTTTGAACTCAATAGGCTGTACGATAATCATCGATTCACTAGTCTACAGTGAAGCATTGCACTGATCTA